TATTATGTTAGGGGTTTTATTTATATAGAGTTCTTGTCATTGAATAGTATGACACATTTAGTTAATTGCATCTTTAGGGCCAAGATAATTTTCAGCCTGTTACTACAGATTTGTGTAAATGTAACAGAAAGCAAAAAGTAGCCACTGGAACTTCCTAGGAAGAATTAAAACCTAACTTTGTGAAGTAAATTTCCTTTTGATTAAGATAATCGTGTGTCTGACTATGAAAAATGAGTGTTAAGAAAAGGTGTAAGAGAAAACTTGGTGTGATTACCAGTGAGGAAGGTAATATTAAAGACCACCGGTGGGATGGGTGGGCTTCAGCCTTCAGCAGTGAAATTGGTCTTTGTACCCAAATGCTGTAATAGTTTTTTTTTTTCTCTAAAATGGAAGCTGGATATTATGGTATTACATATCAGCAACATTAATAGATGAAGTGATTCCCAGACAGTGTGTGGGAATGACAAAACTGGCTGTCATTCTCTAGGAAAACTTCATAAGTTATCTCATCTGTGGGAGGTCTTTTGATCTGCATGCTGTCCTTCTCAAATCCAAAAAGTAGGCAACTGCTATGTTGTCTCTTATTGGACTTTCTGGAAATCAACACCCTACTGAAAGATGTGGGAAAATCATAAGAACATACAGAACAGGTTCAAGATGGCCTGGCCTCTTCTTTTCTTTGTAATTTATTTCAACTATGTACTTTTTTTTTATATTACTTGGATGCAAAGTACTTCAGTTTGTGGTGGGTTTTTTTCGTTAAAACCCCATGTCTTGCTTAAGCTCTATATAAAGTCTATATGAACTTCAGAATTATTAAGAACTACAGTAAAATATTGAGAGCTATCTCACAGCCAAACAGCCTATGAAAAACTCTCAGGTTTAGTTTCCCCATTGCTAGCTCTGAAATGACAGCTTGGACATAAGAAAGTGGGAGGGGAGTGCATCACCCTCTTGCCATAAGAGCAGGTCCCAGTATTTCTTTGTGTCTCAGAAAGATCTCTCATATCCTGGAAAAAAATCAGAACAAGTTCCCAAAAGCACTGAGTATCAGCAGTGCCTGTGACCCGTAAAGATCACATTTGTGGCACCAGTGTCAAGATGAGATCTCCACAATGTGACTACAGGTACTAATGCACACAGCAGTTCCCTCTCCCAGTTCAGCAGATTGATCAGGCTGAGACTGCTTTCCTCTTTGAAGACAAAAAAAAATAGAAAAAGAGTGCAAGGTCTGGGTTACTTTCCATTCCTGCAAGTACCAGCTTTTTTGGGAACAGCAAAGGTGTGAAATCAGCCTACGGAGCCTGCTGTCAGCAGTGGGTGTCGCAGCCCACAGCCAGTCAATAGCTATTATGAGCCAAAAAGGCAGAGAAATCCAGCCAACTTGAGCAAAAGATGCAGCAGCAGAGGAGAGCACAGAATTCTGGCATTTGCTTCTTGCATCGTGGTCTGCTTTTATTCTTGCTGTATTAAAACTGTCATGGCTTTATGCTAATGTGGTTTATTCCTAGCCAGTGATTATTATGCTTTGAATTAGCAGTGCTCTTGAGAGCATTTCTCATGAAAAAAAAATCATGTCCTTCTGAGAAATGTGAATGAGAAGGAAAAAGAGCGGTTACTTGCATTAGCTTGGAGCTGTGTGTATGTTTGGAGAGGATGAAGGAGAAGGAACACTTTCATGACTGATGCCAGGCACTGCAGGACTCTGAGGCCACAGATTTGTGTGTAAGACAGTACTGAAATTCAGGGAAGAGCAGTCAAAATGTGGAAATGGTTTTGACACTGTGTTTGGCTTTCAGTGAACCCACCCTCTGGGTAAATTATTTTTTACTCCAGTGTTAGTTTTGCCTGAGTGTAAATCCATACTCATTTACCCTGAGTGGGAAAAACTTCCCTAGGGGCAGTGAGAGCGCAGCTGGTGTGAGACAGAGTTGTGTTGTGAAAGGAGAGTGTCTTTGAGGGGTGTTAGTTCTCCAGGAAATGGCCTCAGCAATACCAGTTAGGACCAGCTAGCAAAGAGAAGTTGTTGCAGCTCTGAGATTTCATAACAAAGGCACTTGTGTAGCAGAGATCTTGGCTCAGTGATGGTGAAAAGGAGAGAGGGTGAGCAGCAAGAGGAATTTCAGTGTTTCAGCTGTAGGTTTGTTAGCAGGAAACCTAATTCAGCAGCAGCAGCAGTAGTGTGTCATTTCCAGTTTGCTTAGTGGGCCACTTCCTGTGTCCCCTAAATAAGACACCAAAGACGATACCAGCCCATTGCTTTTAGCAGCATCTCTAAAAAATCACAGCAGTGGAACACAGTGGGATCCTACTTGCTTGAACTAGAGGCATCTCAAAAATGGAGGAAGGGGAAAAGGAGTGGTCCCTTTGGATCTGCATATAGAGGGCAGTGTTCTGTACCCTGTGCTGGTCTTCAAGGCCCAGCAGGTTCCAGTGAAATTAGAAAATATAAGGAAATTTCTGATTTCCTCTTCTTTTTATCCATGTGGTTTATTCAGCATAACCAGGCAATTCCCAGCCTTGATACAGCATGTCCCAGCCCCTGTACAGGACAGAGCCTTGTAATGGGTTCTTTGGATAAGAAGGTATTTCTCCAGGCAGTCAGGCACAAAGAGCTGGAACAGAATGAAATGCTTTGGCCGGATTATCTTTTATTCCCTCTGTTTTAAATTGAAAAGAGATGTTCTCAGAAAGGTCTGTCTTTGTTACCCCAAAGAATAGCAGTTTTTAACCATTTCCACTGAAATATCTAGGCTCAGATATATGTCTATCTATATATCTATCTATCTTGCAGGGTAGCTTTTTCTTCCTTGGAAAATTACAGGCAGCTGTATCTGGCATTGATATTTTACAGGAAAAAGGATTATGTTGCATATTAACATTAAAAACAAACAAAAGAGCAATAACAAAATAACCGGACTTCTTGCAAAGACCTGAGGGACTCAAATAGTAGTTCAGTTGGAGTTCTGATAATGAAACCTCCTTTGTGTTAGAAATGCGTCTCTGGCTGTTCCCATGAAAACCAAACTAAATTTGGCTCACTTAAAGCCTTGAAAAAATTTCCATTGAGATACATAAGAATTTGCCAGCCAAAATCTCTGGTGATTCTGCCAGTGTGGAGTGGGCGTGCTCATCCCTTCAAAGCAATGTTCTTGCTGAGGTTCCTGAGCTCAAGCTCATGCCTGAGGTTAATATTTAAAATATGAAAGGTGAATAGAAACACTGGGCTGTTGTCTTCAGAGCAGGAGAGGTGACAATCTGCATCCTGTCTTTATGCATCTGGACTGTGTGTGCAATCCACTCAAATCAGTGTTAGTGGCAGTGTCACATTACAACACAAGTCTGGGAAATGGTATCTCTTAAAAAAAAAAAAAAAAAAAAAGAAAACCAACAACAACTTAAAAAATGAACAAACAAAAATAACAACAACAAACCACACAAAGCCCCTGCTTGTATGCTGACTGAACTATGCAGCTGTGGCACAGAGACAACCTCTCGTGCTGCTGATACCTTCCCTCTGTTGGTGCTTTCTTTGTGGTCCTGGGTTTCCATTCTCTGTGCCTCTAATGTCAGAGATTTTATTTCCCAAAACTATCAGCATTAATTTTGCCTTGCAAATGTGAGACAGGGGACCATGCAATTTAACTACGTCAAGGGACAATCCCCAGACTTCTCTTGTTCTCATCAAGTAGGAAGGGTAATTTAAGTTCTTCAGAGGTTTTTTTGTTTTCAGTATTGAAACTATCATGATGTATTACAGAGTAAAGGTAGCAAGGTAGCAGATAACTGAGCTCTTAAGAACAGATGCTCAGTGAAAACCTCTATCCTCTTCAAGGGAATTCAGACCTAAGTGGGAACTGTATTAAAATCTAAAATTAAAAGTTTAAATGTTAAAAGCTAAGCATAAGAATTGGAGGGCAGTGAGTGGGCAGAAAAATGGGACTAGACTTGGGCCCTGCACTACAAGAAAGACTCTGGAGTACTAGAGAAAGGCTGGTAAAGGTTCTGGAGCACAGGTCTTATCATGAGTATCTGAGGCAGGAGAGATTCTGAGGAGAAAAGGAGGCTCAGGGGGACCTTATAGGTCTCTAGTACTACCTAAAAGGAGGGTGTAGCCAGGTGGGGGTCAGCCTCTTCTCTCAGGTAACCAGTGGTATGACTAGAGGAAATGGCCTCAAGTGACACCAGGGAGTTTTTAGATTGCATATTAGGACAAATTTTTTTATGGAAACAGTTGTAAACCATTGGAACAGGCTGCCAGGGAAGTGGCAGTCACCATCTTTCGAAGATGGTGATGATGATGCAGTCACCATCTTTGGAAGAATTTAAAAGATGTGTAAATGGCACTTGGGGATGTGGTTTAGGGATGGACTTGGCAGTGCTGGGTTAACAGCTGGATCCCATCTTAGAGGTCTTTTTCATCCCAAACAATTTTATGATTCTATGATTTTTTTAGCACCCTCTGTCTCACTAGGAAATTCTAATGTAGCCCCTTTTTGTAAGCCAAGCAATTTTAATGGACACAGTAATGGTACCAAAAAGTCATTATTTATGAGGGTCCTTGCTCTTAATAAATATTAGTAAAATGAAATGTTTCTTTCCATTGCAATTAAAGAAAAAAACCTTTGTAATATTTCTTGTAAATTATATTGAATCCTTTTTTTTTGGCTTTCTCTTCCCCATTCTCTGTCACACTTCCCCAGGAATGGCTGATGACTGAACTGCCAGCTGTCTAGAGCAATGTAGAACAATTTGTTAAAAGCCATAACTTTTATAACATAATAATTTTCTGTTGAATCTTGTTGTTACTACTGTTCTTTACCGTAGATTAACAATTTCACTAAAAGAAAAGAACGTTAAAATATTTTTTCCCTTTGTTATTCTTCTTTGTGTCCATGAAAAATTTTTGCCATCTGTGTGGTTTTCTGATAACTTATTAAAGCATTTATTTCACTTCCCACCTTCCTTGTGTTTTTCTCTTTTTCTTGCTGAAATTACAGCTGAAGAGGTGGAAAGACTGGCTGCAATGCGTTCAGATTCTCTAGTACCTGGGACTCACACGCCTCCAATCAGAAGAAGGAGCAAATTTGCCACTCTTGGGAGAATTTTTAAGCCATGGAAATGGAGGAAGAAGAAGAGTGAAAAATTTAAGCACACTTCAGCAGGTAACAGTCACGTTGGGGTCGGTTTATTAATCTGGAACTTTTTGCTCATCAAGGCTGAAAATTTGTAATACAGCCTCAGTTTGCATGTATTTCAAGTCTTGAAGCTTGGCTTGGGGAGATTTCAACTCTTGAAGCTTGGCTTGGAGAGATTCATCAGATTCTAAGAGAAGATCTCTAACTTTGTTACAAACTTTTTCTTTAAAAGCCCTAAAGTGACACATCGGGTGATTGGGTGCACTGCAATTAAATCAGCAGCTCACCAAAGCTGTATTTTCAGGTTCTGCTACTAGATCTAGAGCCTAACTCAGAAGAAATCTTTGAATATTGATTCCACAGATTATGAATAAAGGAAAAGGCAGTATGAAAAGATAATACTAGAGGTCGATTTAGCCACATTTAAGCTCCTGTGAGTGCTAATAAAGGAGTGAGAAAAAAAGGAGTGACAGGATAAAGAAGTTGACATTGTGTTGAGTAACTTGCATAACCAGAAATTATTCATTCCATTGGGCAGGAATGATGTGTCCCTTGTTTTTTTGAGAAAAGCAAATCTCAGTTCCTGCCACGCCCCTCCTTTTGCCATTGCTTTCTTGCACTTCTAGTCCAAGACCCTTTTTTATTTAAAAAAAAAGGGAACCGAAAAAAATGTGGGTTTATAATGTAAATTGGTCTGAGCAAGAATCCCAGATGCAGGCATTGATCCATGTGATGAAAGCTCTGCAATTTATTTAGAAGGTTTATTTTCTTTGTTCTTTCATGATGGCCAATAATTACTACATTTGGTTCTGCAAGTCTTTACCCTGGATTATCTGTGAGAAAACATGGAGTTTCTCCAGATTTCTAATTGTTTTCTCTAGAACTAGAAAGAAAGCAGTGAGTATCTTGCTCCTTCAAGTGTCAGAAGAGGCTTGAGCTACAATAAGTTGCTTTTCTGCCCTGTGTTTTGCACAGTGGAATGTTTTAGGCACTACTTGGGTGTACCTGTGGCACCCCAAATCCTGTACTCCTGAAAGTGGCCCACAATGGGGTGAGACGTCTCATTTAACTAAGTGTGAATTCTTGAATGAGTTTAAATGCAGAATAAGTATTTTCAGGGTTTGTACCTGAATGAGTTCTTTACTCTGTGCTGTTTAGGCTGCTTTCTGATTTATCAGCCAAAAACTAATGAGCTGGAATAGATGGCTATATTACTCTGAGTGATGATCATATTTTTTGACTTGACAGCTAGAAGCTATTGTCACCAAAAATGACATCTTTCTGCAAAAAAAAAAGGAGTCGTCTTTCGTATTCTGCATCAGTCATAACCATAGTGTATTGTAGTAGGATTTCCATGAAAACCATATAGCTCTTAGGGATATGTAGACACTGTGGTAACAACTGCTTTGAATCTAGTTTGAGCATGCTGCCTTGGTTGGTTACAACTAGGAGAATAAGCATGGCTGTTCAGGCGGTACCATGGGTTGCCAAAGCTTGCCTACTGTTGATTTTTATGGTTTCTGCAGCTCCAGCTGATGAGGCTGAGCTGCATGCTGCTGTGTTTAGACTGACTGGTTTGAAGCTGGATGGAATATGGCTCCATAGTCCACTCTGGGCATTACAAGAAGTATTGCTAAGATTTGCCCCATTACCAAAATATTTGGAAAGTACACAGTGATTAAAACCAGACTGAACACATGTATTTTCTCTTCTCAGAGGAATAGGAAGTTTTACCAGACATGCCAGCGTATCTTCTCCCCTAGTAAGAGTGAGTTCAGTATCTGAAAAAACAATTTAAGAGCTGGGTCTCCAGGAGCATTTGTCAGTCACAGTACTGGGTTTGATCTCAGTTGAATCCAAAACCTTTCTCTTTTTTTTATAGAAAAATTTTTATTTCTAGTAAGTTAACAGTATCCTGCAGCTGCTCTGCAAAATTGGTATTCCTGTCAGCTCCCCTGCTACTAACTGCAGCAAAATTGACAAGGATGTCAAATTTGCTGAGCACCCTGTAGAAGGCAGGGATAGAGATTTGCTTCTGGACTGTGCGAGAGCTGGGACCTCACAGTTTCCATCATCCCCATCCCTGGGGAACAGAAATCCACCAGCACCCTACAAGACCCCCCCCCCCAACAATTAGAAGCATTGGTTGAACCTTGGATGTGTAGTACAAAAGATTTGACACATGGAAAACTAGCATTTTTCTGCCAGCATTTGCATGACCTCTTGTCTAGTACCTCTGATCTCACTGAGAAAATATATTTAATCTTTATAATGAATCAAAGGACAAGCTTGTGAGATGGCATAATGAGAGCCAGCATGAAACTTCATAATACAGGCTTATTTTCTTCTAGTGCACTGATAAATGTGACACTTGGAAAAAAAGCATTCCCATTAGTGTCCTACAGGCACGCACCCAAGCTTTCCCACCTGCATAGAACATCAGTAATTATCAAAAAATAGATACTAATACAAGTATTTTATTAGGCTCTTATTTGCTGCGACAATGGATTCAATTATTTTTAATGTCAAAAGTGGTAAGGGTCAAAACACATGGCCTAATCTGATGAAATTTCCACTGAAATTAATGGGAGATTCTTCTCTGGGAGAGGACAGAAAGAAAGAGAGAGTCAAGCTGATATGTAAGGTTGAAAGGTTGCCTTTTTCTTGGTATTTCCAAGTGCTAACATTTTGTATCCATATCTTTATCAGATTGAAAGCTCTGCTTAGTTATTCAGAGATGAATGTTTTAAAATTCAATTCAGCAGTCAATGAGCAAAAAAACCTTTTAGGTGATAGGAAAAGCTATTTTCTGACACCTGGTAATTGCATGAGGTGAGACAGTACATAATGTGATTGATGGGGGACCTCAGTGTTAGGCTTACTATATATGACTCCTCTCAGCACATCAATACTCAAATTGTGGTGTTTGAGCATAAGTCCCCCTTTCTCCATCTTTGTTATTGTATTGTCACTGACAAGCAGAGGGTCAAAAGGATGTTCATGTTTCGTAGAGTTTATATGTTTATAGGTTATGTTGTTTTTGGTGTCCGTGTAGTGACGTTGCAGAAGGGTCCAAAGTCTGACATTGCCTTGGTGCTGACTTGGTAACAAAGGTAAGAGTCAAGGGTTTGATGCAGACATCTCATGCCTTTGCCTTGCAGCTGGTCTCTGTGAGATCATCATTAGGTATTTTGTAAAGCAGCCAGAGCAGGTAGAGAAAATCACGGGTAGGGTGATCTGTGTGCAGATGAGAAGCACCAGATGAGCCATTGGGTTTGATCCGAGTGACCTCTTCTGCTGGAAGGCGGTGTGTTAAGGAGGTGTAAGGCATATGCACTGTGAAAGAAAGATGGGCTTTGTCTAGGCATAATCTCAGAAAACAGGGAGTCTGTGAGGGACACCAGTGTACCACAGCAAGAACAGAAACAAGTTAATTCTCACACTCTTGTATTCGTAGGGAAGCCCCAACAAAGGTAGGAATGATGCATCTGTCTCCATGTTCTCAGAAGGCTAATTTATTACTTTATAATACTACATTATATTAAAGAATACTATACTATACTAAACTGAAGAATACAGAAAAGATACTTACTGAATGCTAAAAAGATAATAATGAAAACTTGTGACTCTTTCCAGAGCTCTGACACAGCTTGGCCCTGGTTGGCCAATGAGTCAAAACAATTCACACCAGAATCTAATCAGGCAATCACCTTTGGGTAAACAATTTCTAGACACATTCTACATGAGCAAAACACAGGAGAAGCAAATGAGATAAGAATTGTTTTCCTTTTCTCTGAGGCTTCTCAGCTTCCCAGGAGAAAAACCCTGGGCGAAGGAATTTTTTCAGAGAATGTGAATGCCACATCACAGTAATTCTCCTCCTGGACAGAAGTGAAGTTCCCACCAGCAGAATGTGGTTTTCAGCATCAGGTCTGCAAATCATTTTATCACAGAACATCTATTGGAAGTTCCTTGATGGGTGATGAGACCCCCACAGTACAGCATAAACTCTCTGGACACTGAAGTTCTATATACGGAGACTTAAACAAAGAAACCAAATCCTGCCACACTGTTATTCATGGTACAATCAAAGATATGCTGTATGTTTTTAAAGTTAGCTAAGATTTTTACATGAAGTGTGGAAACCTTTATTTCCATGCAGGGCCAAGGCCCCCTCAACAAAAATATGAGGTATTATAAAGCTGGTAAGAACGGGCAAACTTCTAAATGGCAAGATTCTGTCTGTTAAGAGCATGATTTCTTACAACTGACAAAGAGCAGTCTCATGGCCGAAGAAGCCAGGAAGAAACATAGTTTTCTATACTCAAGCACATTTCCTTGGCTGGATGCAGGTGGGATGGCTCTAGAAGACTGGTCAAGATTTTAAAAGACAAATGGGGCTCTCTGAGAATCAGCAAAGCAGATAGCAGGAGAGCAAGCTGACTGTCTCCTCTGCTAGACCTTTGTAATTTTTTTTAATACCTTGATCTTCTGCTCGCCTTGCTGTGAACTTGAAAAATATTCCTGGGTGTGTTGCTGTTTTATTGCAGTGCTGTACACATGCTGAAATGTCATTTCCTGGAGATGTTTTGGAGAAGGAACTGCTTCTGACAGAAAGAAGCTTGAGGGGAAATAGATTCTGCACTTACTTGAAATATTATTGAAGGTTTTTTATCGCTACTTTCGTCAAAAGCCAACTGTTTGCAACCTTTCAGAAAAAAAGTGTTTCAGCTGCTTGGAGGATTTTGAGTAGAGAAAAATGTCTTGTTTTGTCATTTCCCATTTCTGGTGACCTTCAGTTTAAAGAATTAGTGCATCTGTCTTCCACCATCCTTGCTTCCTGAATCGCAGTGCTCAGGCAAAATGGAGAAGGAAACATGTAACTCGTACTTGAAGGACGCTAGTTAAATGACAAGAGAAAAGCAGAAAAGGAAATCTTTTGAACTCAGCCTTTCCTCTTAGGTACATTGAAAGCTCCTTTTATTTGTGTCCCAGTTTCCCTTCCTAGAAATACTTGCAATCGTCCT